GGTGGTAAATAAGATAAAATGAATAAAAAGAGAGCGAGAGAGAGAAGAGCGGGGCGAGCGAGAAGCGAGAGAGCGAGAGAACAGAGAGAGAACGAGAGAGAGAGAGGGGAGAGAGAGAGAGAAAACGAGAAGAGAGAGAGAAAAGAGAGAGAGAAGAGAAAACGAGAGAGAGAGAACAGAGAGAGAGAAAAGAAGAGAAGAGAGAACGAAGCAAAAAGAGAAACGAGAGAGAGAACAAGGGGGGAGAACCGGGGAGAGAAAACGAGAAGAGGAACGAGAAGAAGAACGAAGGGGGGGGAGAACGAGAGAAGAGAACGAGAGAGAGAGAACGAGAGGAGGAACGAGAGAGAGAGAAAGAGAAGAAGAGAAGAGAGAAAACAAGAGAAGAACGAGAGAGAGAGGAAACAAGAGAGAGAGAACGAGAGAGGAGAGAACGAAGGAGAGAAAAGAGAGAGAGAGAAGAGAGAGAACGAGAGAAACGAGAGAGAAGAAGAGAAGAGAGAACGAGAGAGAGAGAGAACGAGAAGAGAGAGAAAGAGAGAAGAGAACGAGAGAGAGAGAACGAGAGAGGAGAGAGAACGAGAGAGAGAGAGAACGAGAGAGAGAGAGAGAACGAGAGAGAGAGAGAACGAGAGAGAGAGAGAACGAGAGAGAGAGAGAGAGAGAGAGAGAGAACGAGAGAGAGAGAGAGAACGAGAGAGAGAGAGAACGAGAGAGAGAGAGAACGAGAGAGAGAGAGAACGAGAGAGAGAGAGAACGAGAGAGAGAGAGAGAGAGAACGAGAGAGAGAGAGAGAGAACGGGGGAGAGAGAGAGAACGAGAGAGAGAGAGAGAACGGGAGAGAGAGAGAACGAGAGAGAGAGAGAGAACGAGAGAGAGAGAGAGAACGAGAGAGAGAGAGAGAACGAGAGAGAACGAGAGAGAACGAGAGAGAACGAGAGAGAACGAGAGAGAACGAGAACGAGAGAGAGAGAGAACGAGAGAGAGAGAGAGAGGAGCGAGGAGGAGAGAGAGAGAACGAGAGAGAGAGAGAACGAGAGAGGGGAGAACGGGGGAGAGAGAGAGAACGAGAGAGAGAGAGAGAAACGGGAGAGGAGAGAGAGAACGAGAGAGAGAGAGAGAATGAGAGAGAGAGAGAGAATGGGAGAGAGAGAGAGAATGGGAGAGAGAGAGAGAATGGGAGAGAGAGAGAGAGAATGGGAGAGAGAGAGGAGAGAGAATGGGAGAGAGAGAGAGAGAGATGGGAGAGAGAGAGAGAGAGAATGGGAGAGAGAGAGAGAGAATGGGAGAGAGAGAGAGAGAATGGGAGAGAACGAGAGAGAGAGAGAGAGAGAGGAGAGAACGAGAGAGAGAGAGAGAGAGAGAGAGAGAGAGAGAGAGAGAGAGAGAGAGAGAGAGAGAGAGAGAGAGAACGAGAGAGAGAGAGAGAGAGAGAGAAGAGAGAGAGAGAGAGCATGAGAGAGAGAGAGAGAGAGAGAGAAAAGAGAGAGAGAGAGAGAGAGAGAACGAGGGGGGAGACAGACGCAGAGTTATGTGAACAAGCCAGGCGATTGTGTCTGGTTTTGGTTCAGTAAGTAAGTTTATTCAGGTATACACAAATACAGTTGCATGGATTATCATACATAGCAGCATGTGTGTAGAGAACCTGGGATAACCAAAAAAAAGTCAGTGACTTATTTCCACTGGGGTTCATACATTTGTATTATACCATAATACAAAGACTTTACATTGTGTACAAGTTGTCTCCACATTGATACAATAGAATAAATAGAGCAACACTCCCATTCTCATGTTACACCATTTTTAGAAGAAATGAGTGAGGGTATACGAAAGGAATAAGTTTCTACAGTTACCCCCAGTAATATTATAGTGTACACATATTTTCTGATGGACTAGAGAAAACGTTATTCTTGCCGTCACTCCTACGAGTCGCCTGGCTACCACATCTCATATTAATGTTAATTTATTCTACCATGGGGTGTATTTATCAGGTTTATATGTTATGTAGATTGTTTATTATATAATTTTGAAAAAATATCATAGATGGATTAACCCTTTGACTGTTTCGGTCGTATATATACGTCTTACACGCCACTGTTTCAGACGTATTTATACGCGTAAATTCTAGCGGCTTCAAATCAAGCAGGAGAAAGCTGGTAGGCCTACATGTGAGAGAATAGGTCTGTGTGGTCAGTGTGCACCACATAAAAAAAAATCCTGCAGCACGCAGTGCGTAATGAGAAAAAAAAAACTTTTTTTTTTTTTTAATTAAAACGCCGACTTTAAGGTGTATTTTCATATAGTATTTATCGTTGTATTCTTGCTTTCATGGTCTCACATGATAAAATGGAAAACATATTACAGAAATAGAGATGAATTTGATTAGTTTCACGATGAAAACGACCTTGAAATTGAGCTCAAAGTAGCGGAAATGTTCAATTTTTACCAATGTTCAGGAGTAAGCAAATCACACCACACGTCAACTGGGGAGTCTAATATTCTTTTACTAGTGCACTGATATTATTTATACCATTTTTACAATAATGCAGTAGTCTGCGTAACAGTAAATTTTGTATTTTTTGTATGAATGAAAAGTCAAAATAGAAAGCAATAGTAATATAAGAGGGACCTAGAGATGTGACTAATGAACAGAGGATATGTTATTTTAGTGCTGAGAATGTCTACATTGTTTATTCTGGACCCTATTTTGAAATTGGCATCTTTTTTAATTTGTGTGAAATTGGCCAAATTACCAATTTCTGACCACTTTATTGGGTAGTTCAAATCGGTAAATGGGCGGTTTCTTGTACTCAACTGATAGAAAAAATGAAGTTCTAAAGAAATAGCTATGAGTTTGGTCAACTGGAACAACGGAATTGGGCAAAAACAGGGCTCAAAGTCGTCGAAATCACAAATGTGTAATGTCACCGAGACCGCTAACTTCGCGGGAGTGGAATTCCGTGAGTTTTCGACCAAATTTCATACTTTTGGTGTCATTACCATCGGGAAAAGATTCTCTATCATTTCATAAGAAAAAATAATTTTTTTTCCAAAAATTTTGTGACAGAATGACAGCTTCAGAAAAGGGCTTGCGACAGTCAAAGGGTTAATGAAAATGTGTATATTTCTGTAATATGACATTTAATGTGCCTCAGTGATTATTATTGAGTATTATCATTATTAATATGGCACCTTGAGATGCAAGACACTCTTACTGATTTTAATGTGTACCTGCACGCCAGCACAGTGTGTAAGTTTATTTAGGTACAGGTACACGTAAGTATACCTGGAGTTTACCTGGAGACAGTTCCAGGGGTCAACGCCCCTGCGGCCCGGTCTGTGACCAGGCCTCCTGGTGGATCAGAGCCTGATCATCCAGGCTGTTACTGCTGGCTGCACGCAATCCAACGTACGAGCCACAGCCCGGCTGGTCAGGTACCGACTTTAGGTGCTTGTCCAGTGCCAGCTTGAAGACTGCCAGGGGTCTGTTGGTAATCCCCCTTATGTATGCTGGGAGGCAGTTGAACAGTCTCGGGCCCCTGACACTTATTGTAAGGTCTCTTAACGTGCTAGTGACACCCCTGCTTTTCATTGGGGGGATGTTGCATCGTCTGCCAAGTCTTTTGCTTTCGTAGCGAGTGATTTTCGTGTGCAAGTCCGGTACTAGTCCCTCTAGGATTTTCCAGGTGTATATAATCATGTATCTCTCCCGCCTGCATTCCAGGGAATACAGGTTTAGGAACCTCAAGCGCTCCCAGTAATTGAGGCGTTTTATCTCTGTTATGCGCGCCGTGAAGGTTCTCTGTACATTTTCTAGGTCAGCAATTTCACCTGCCTTGAAAGGTGCTGTTAGTGTGCAGCAATATTCCAGCCTAGATAGAACAAGTGACCTGAATATATATAAAATATGAAATAACTTTTAAAAACACTTGAAATTTTGGAAAGTTTCCGGACATAATGGAGAGATGCGGTGCTCATGGAGAATGTAAACAAACTGGGTGGGGCATGGTGACCGTATTAGAAAGTCAAGTCATAATTTGAAATGTCCCTATTAGCGGAATGCCGTAAAGCGAAATGTCGTAAAGCAGGGCCCTACTGTATATGATAAATAAATAAGTAAATAAATAACTGTCACTTAAGTAAATAAATGAATTAAAATTTATCCTATCAATAAATGTACAGTACTGTACAGTACAGAATGTGTACATAGTTATCGCATCATCGTACGGTTGAAATATTGTAAGTCAAACCATCGTAAAGTGAGGAGCATCTGGATTTAATATTCTGTACTTGTTCTGTCACCCCCACATGGTAGTACACAACTGTAGAGCAGTTACTGAAGGTGTCTATACTGTACCTGGGTGGAAGATGGCCACTCGGTCATGCTGTTTGCAGAAATCATTGGCATAAATATATTAATACAATGTATCAGAGGCAAAAATCCTTGGGAAAGAGTTGGTCATCTTGATGGTAGCAAAGGAGTCTTGATCCACAGAGGTGGATGAAACCTAGTTACTTCCCATTACCCACTCACTGTACGACCCACACAAGTTTAGCACTCCCTCGTGAACATTACCTAATAAAACACAACAATGAGGACTTCATAGTGCATAGGTTCATCTGAACTGTGATGTCAACACGCTTCTGGCAAGACAGTCATTGAATGAATGATGGTGGAAGTGTCTAATTTTTTTTTTTTTTTTTTTTTTTTTTTTTTTTTTTTTTTTTTTTTTTTTTTTTTTTTTTTTTTTTTTTTTTTTTTTTGGTCCCCCTACCATAGTGGAAGTCAGCCTATGTTAAAATTACGAAAAGCTCTGGCAGTGGTCACAGAGAGACAATGGTCACAAATAACACTACAATACAGATCTTTCTTGTTTTATGCAAACTATCAAATGATGTCTTATTTCTATTGGTAATAAAGTATATGTGATTATGTTGACTATATGTGATTGGCACAGTTTGTAAAGTGTATTGAAGAATGTTATTACCATATTTTCCAGCATATAAGGCACTTTTTTCCCCAAAAGTGTCTTGGAAAACCATCCTGCACCTAATATGCTCTTGCTAGAGTTGTTCCTCTGAACGAAACTACCTGGACTTCTACTCATTTCTGCAACATTGCAACTCCTGAAGATGTGTTGATTGCAACACAAAAGGCCTAGAGTTATCATTTAACTCCCCCTGTGGTTGTTTAGCATCAATTACTGCATTATTTTTTATTATTTTTTTATTAACACACTGGCCGATTCCCACCAAGGCAGGGTGGCCCAAAAAAGAAAAACTTTCACCATCATTCACTCCATCACTGTCTTGCCAGAAGGGTGCTTTACACTACAGTTTTTAAACTGCAACATTAACACCCCTCCTTCAGAGTGCAGGCACTGTACTTCCCATCTCCAGGACTCAAGTCCGGCCTGCCGGTTTCCCTGAATCCCTTCATAAATGTTACTTTGCTCACACTCCAACAGCACGTCAAGTATTAAAAACCATTTGTCTCCATTCACTCCTATCAAACACGCTCACGCATGCCTGCTAGAAGTCCAAGCCCCTCGCACACAAAACCTCCTTTACCCCCTCCCTCCAACCTTACATACATGACATAAAACAAGGCACACCTGCACCCATAAAATTTAACCATGAAATGAAGTCAGTGAATCATTAAATCAAAATATATGTAGACAATTCACAAGTTACTCATTTCTTATTTAGTAAGAGCACTGCTGGAAAGACAGCAGTTGAATGAATGATGATGAGTGTGTTTTATTTTCTCTGGGTCACCTAACCTTGGTGGGAGATGGTCAATATACAGTCAGCTCTCTTATCAAGCTTTTCTATTTATAGTCAGTTTTCTTGTATAGCTCCTCTATATACAATCAGCTCTTATAAAGCTCCTCTGTATAGTCCTATTTTGTAAATGCATTTGAAATATATAGAGGAGCATTACATTATAAGAGAGATGACTGTATATAGAAGAGCTTTATAGGAGAGCTGACTATATATAGAGAAGCTTATATATGAATGTAAAGCTGTCTGCTATATCAATCCAGAGAAAAGTTTTGACTTAGTCAATTCTCTTGTAAAGCTCCTCTATACAGTGCCATTTTTTTATTTTTTTGGTAAATGCAGTAAGAAAAAGTACATCAACAATTAAATAACACATAGTAAGACCTCATAGTACATGCATTCAATTTTTGTTGGCCTTTTTCAGTTAAGATAAGATTTTTAACCCCGGAGGGTTAGCCACCCAGGATAGCCCAAGAAAGTCAGTGTGTCATCGAGGACTGTCTAACTTATTTCCATTGGGGTCCTCAATCTTGTCCCACAGGATGCGACCCACACCAGTCGACTAACTCCCAGGTACCTATTTGCTGCTAGGTGAACAGGACAACAGGTGTAAGGAAACATGTAGAAATGTTTCCAGCAGGCCACCGGGCCACCTTGTCGAATAATTTTTTTATCCTGTGAAAATGTCAAGAATTCGTGACGGATCTTGACATTCATAATATTAATTATTTAAAAGAATTTTATTTTTATTTTATCTCGCTTTTGATAAATTTTTAGAAACCATTGTGTTTACCCAAAGAAATTTCTTTTAAATGACCAAAAAGTCCAACTATTCACAATTAGTCACAACACGTTTTAAGGAATTTAAGGTATACAGTGGACCCCCACATACCGTACGCATCGCATACCGTACAATCCGCATACCGGACGCTTTGATCGCTAAAATTTTGCCTCGCATACCGCCCAAAAACCCGCTCACCGCCCTTCGTCCGAGACGCGTCCAATGTGCGGCCTGAGCCAGCCTCATATGTTCCGCCGGTGGCATTGTTTACCAGCCAGCCTCCGCGGTAACATCCAAGCATACAATCGGAATATTTCGTATTATTACAGTGTTTTCGGTGCTTTATCTGGAAAATAAGTGACCATGGGCCCCAAGAAAGCTTCTAGTTCCAACCCTACAGCAATAAGGGTGAGAATTCCAATAGAGATGAAGAAAGAGATCATTGATAAGTATGAAAGTGGAGTGCGTGTCGCCGACCTGGTCAGGTTGTACAAGAAACCCAAATCAACCATCTCTACTATTGTGGGCAACAGAAAGGCAATCAAGGAAGCTGTTCTTGCCAAAGGTTTAACTGTGTTTTCGAAACAGAGATCGCAAGTGATGGAAGATGTTGAGAGACTCTTATTGGTGTGGATAAATGAAAAACAGCTAGCAGGAGATAGCGTCTCTCAAGCGATCATAAGCGAAAAGGCTAGGAAGTTGCATGAGGATTTAATTAAAAAAATGCTTGCAACTAGTGATGATGTGAGTGAATTTAAGGCCAGCAAAGGTTGGTTTGAGAGATTTAAGAAGCGTAGTGGCATACATAGTGTGATAAGGCATGGTGAGGCTGCCAGTTCGGACCACAAAGCAGCTGAAAAATATGTGCAGGAATTCAGGAGTACATAGAAACTGAAGGACTGAAACCTGAACAAGTGTTTAATTGTGATGAAACAGGCCTGTTTTGGAAGAAAATGCCAAGCAGGACCTACATTACTCAGGAGGAAAAGGCACTCCCAGGACATAAGCCTATGAAAGACAGGCTTACTTTGTTGATGTGTTCCAATGCTACTGGTGATTGCAAAGTGAAGCCTTTATTAGTGTATCACTCTGAAACTCCCAGACTGTTCAGGCAAAAGAATGTCCTCAAGGAGAATTTGTGTGTGCTGTGGAGGGCAAACAGTAAGGCATGGGTCACTAGGGACTTTTTCTATGACTGTTACACCATGCATTTGCCCCCAATGTGAAAGATTACCTAACTGAAAAGAAATTAGAACTTAAGTGCCTCCTGGTGTTTAGACAATGCCCCTGGTCATCCTACAGACGTGGCAGAGCGACTTTATGGGGACATGAAATTCATTAAGGTGAAGTTTTTGCCTCCTAATACCACTCCTCTCCTGCACCCATGGACCACAGGTTATTGCAAACTTCAAAAACTGTACACAAAAGCTCTCTTTGAAAGGTGCTTTGTAGTGACCTCAGAAACTCAACTGACTCTAAGAGAGTTTTGGAGAGATCACTTAAATATCCTCAATTGTGTAAACCTTATAGGTAAGGCTTGGGAGGGAGTGACTAAGAAGACCTTGAACTCTGCTTGGAAGAAACTGTGGCCAGAATGTGTAGACAAAAGGGATTTTGAAGGGTTTGAGGCTAACCCTGAGAGGATTATGCCAGTTGAGGAATCCATTGTGGCATTGGGAAAGTCCTTAGGGTTGGAGGTTAGTGGGGATGATGTGGAAGAGTTGGTGAGGAGACAATGAAGAACTAACCACTGATGAGCTGATAGATCAACTTCAAGAGCAAGAGGCCAGACCTGAGGAAACTGTTCAGAGGAGGGGAGAGAGAAATTGAAGAAGTTGCCTACTACAAAGATTAAGGAAATCTGTGCAAAGTGGCTTGAAGTGCAAACCTTCATGGATGAAAATCACCCTCACACAGCTATTGCAAGCCATGTTGGCAACCTGTACACTGACAATGTTGTGAAACACTTTAGGGAAGTCATAAAGGAACGAGAGGTACAGGCCACTATGGACAGATATGTTGTGTGAAAGAAGTCCAGTGACTCTGAAGCTGGTCCTAGTGGCATTAAAAGAAGAAGGGAAGTAACCCCAGAAAAGGACTCGACACCTCAAGTCTTAATGGAAGGGGATTCCCCTTATAATACTAACACTCTCTCTCCCCTCCTCCCATCCCATCAATCATCACCAGATCTTCAATAAAAGTAAGTGTCATGTAATTGTGCATGCCTTTTTCAGTTTGTGTGTATTAAAATTAACATTTCATGTGGTAAATTTTTTTTTTTCATACTTTTGGGTGTCTTGCACGGATTAATTTGATTTCCATTATTTCTTATGGGGAAAATTCATTCGCATACCGAACATTTCGCATAACAACCAGCCCTCTTGCACGGATTAAGGTCGCTATGCGGGGGTCCACTGTATATTAATTTTATTTCCACAATGATAATTTTTAGGATTTTTTTTATTTTTACAAATTTTTTTTGTAGCCTTTAGGACAGTTTTCATAAAAAAAAATGAGTTCTTTGTTATTCCCTGGTAATTGATATTGTTTCCACAGTAATAATAATAATAATAATAATAATAATAATAATAATGATTTTTGTGAATTTTCTAACATTTTTGGTAAATTTTTGAGCCATGTTTAGGCTGGTGAATGATGATTTTTACCCATAATAATATTTTTGAGTATTGTGACTTTTTTTGTAAATTTTAAATAACTTTTAACCTGGTAAATGGTGTTTTATATTTAAAATATTCTCCATATTAATATTTCTATGCAATGTGATATATATCGTAGGTTACCTAATTTTGGTATAAGGAACATTTTTCTTTGTGCAAGAAAGTGGAAGTATGTACTGGATGTCTAGACTGTACCTATTGTAGGTCCCTACTTAACAGCCCTAATCATTCCTAAGAATTGTCTCAAACTCAGTTGTTCGCAACTTGGAACCTATTTTCCCATAGACACCTATGTTATAATGAGAGATGGGTTTCTGAGCCTTAATATCCCCTCTCTAATTTATTTTTTCAACTAAGACTTAAGTACCTAATTCTTTTCATTCAAAATTGTTCAGTTTTTCAATTGTAAGCAACGTCAAATGATGTATAGTTAACATAGTTATGTTAGTTAAACATTATGGATTTATTATACAGTATTTAGTACTATGTTTACCTCGAATACTGACACTGTCTTGCCCACTGGAAGTGATGTTTTGAATATTGATTGTGACTTGCCCACTGGAGGTGATGTTTTGAATATTTATGATGTCTTGTCCACTAGAGGTGATGTTTTGAATATTGATGCTGAATTGCCCACTGGAGGTGATGTTTTGAATATTGATGCTGACTTGCCCACTGGAAGTGATGCTCTTTTACGATTTGTGAATATTATCACCACTTCATAGAGCAAGTCTGCATTGATGTGTGCTTAATTGGTTCCAAAGTGCAGACGATTACATGTGAGGATGATCGTAAGTGAGGATGATCGTTAGTGAGGATGAATAAAACACACTTGCAACCCTTCGTGTAGTTATCGAGATGTCTTGCCACAGGTTGGTGAAACGCCTCTGCGTTAAAGCTACCAGCTGTTATGCATGTTTCTTGCATGCCCAACAGATGAGACGGAAGAGGAACACTGCAGCAATCCTGCTGACCTGTGCTTAGCAGGTCTTTCTCAAGTCCAACCCTTCCCCAGCACTCAAACATTTGTCCAGCTTGTTCTGAAAGCTGCTCCAGGTTTATATACTGTTTCCTCCATAACAGTCAACACTTGCAACTGGATTCAAGTCTGACGAAGATGAATTTACTTGACACCAGATTCAAGTCTGACGAATACGTATTTACTTGACACTGGATTCAAGTCTGACAAAAACAGATTTAGAAAGAATATAGGAAAGTTCTCCTTTAATAGATGAGTGGAATATACTCCGAGTCCATCATGAAAGTGACGACATTGGCTGTTGCTTTCCAAGTTGGACAAGCACATGAGAGGGAGTGGATGGGTGCAAGTTGAACCTGCCTAGCATGGAACATGAAGTTAATGTCTTCATGTTCATGAGTGTAATTCATCTTTGTATTGGATTGATGAATCCTGCATTGCAGTGGAAATATTCTGTTAATAAGGTTTCCTGGTGTTGCATGTGGCTTGCTTATAGGCCATTTGGCCTACTGTAATGCTCCTCCAGTGGTCTTAAATGCTGTGTTTTCAAATCCTCTGCATCATCAGGGCCAAAATGTAAGAATACTGGAAATAATTTTTATATGCAAATTGAGAGGGACTTAACAGAGATTTATATAATACTTTTAATAAATGATATATATCATCTGCTTTTCTTCATTTGCATATTCTAGGTTGAAATGAAAGGAAATGGGAGGGGTGTTAATGTTGCAATTTTATAGCTGTAGTGTAAAGCACCCTTCTGGCAAGACAGTGATGGAGTGAATGATGATGAAAGTTTTTCTTTTTCGGGCCACCCTGCCTTGGTGGGAATCGGCTGATGTGTTAATAAAAAAAAATAACAGTACCGTATATTAACCCTTTGAGGGTCGACAGGCCCTCTCCGAAACTCGTTCTCAGGGTCGGCCAAATTTAAAAAAAAAAAAAATTATTTTCTCTTATGAAAAGATAGAGAATCTTTTCCCGATCATAAAGACACCAAAAGTTTGAACTTTGATAGAAAACTTACGGAATTATGCTCTTGCAAAGTTAGCGGTCTTGGCGATGTTTACATATCGGCGATATTGCCCACTTTGAGCCCCGTTTTCGGCCAATTTCACTGTACTAGTCGACAAAAACATGAATATTTCGCTAGAACTCCATTTTTTCTATCGAATGGGTGCAAGAAACCACCCATTTATGAAATTCAACTATCCAGTACAGTGGTCAGAATTTAACAATTTTGCCAATTTCACACAAATTTCAAAAGATGCCAATTTCTGAATAGGGTCCAGAATAAACAAGAAAGACATTCCTGGCACTAAAATGACATTTCCTCTAGTCATTAGTCACGTCTCAAGGCCCCTCTTATATTCTTTTGCTTTCCACTTTGAATTTTTATTCTCACAAAAAATATAAGATTTACTGTTATGCAGACTACTGCATTAGTGTAAAAAATGGTATAAATATTATTGGTGCACTTGTGAAAGAATATTAGACTCACCAGTTGACGTGTATTGCACGCTTGGCACGATTTGTTTACTTTTGAAGTTTGGTAAAAATCGAACATTTCTGCTACTTTGAGCTCAATTTCAAGGCACCTTTCATTGTAAAACCAGTCAAAATCATCTCAATTTCTGTAATATGTCTTCCATTCTATAAAATGAGACCAAGAAAACTAGAATACAACAATAAATACCATACGAAATACACTGCAAAGTCGCTGATTTATTCCAAAAAAATGGTCAAAGTTTTTTTTTTCTCATTATGCACTGTATGCTGCAGGATTTTTTTTAGACTGTGCACACTGACCACATAGACCCATTCTTTCATATGAAGGCCTACCAGCTTTCTCCCACTAGATTTGAGGCCGCTAGAATTTATGCGTACTAGTACGTCAAAAACCCCTACGCGTAAGACGTACTAGTATGACCAAAACCCTCAAAGGGTTAATGGTTTAGCTAACCAACAAGTATGTGAATAAGACATGTGTGCAACACTTGAGTATCATAGGTTACGTAATATTAAGTTTTCTGGTGAAAGTGCTTCCTGATCATACAGCAGCAAGTAATTTCCCTGCTGAATTGCAGGAAGTACAGTGCCAGCACTCTGAAGGAGGGGTGTTAATGTTGCAGTTTTATAACTGTAGTGAAAGCATGCCTCTGGCAAGACAGTGATGGAGTGAATGATGATGGAAGTTTTTCTTTTTCTGGTCACCCTGCCTTGGTGGGAAATGGCTGATGTGTTGATAAAAAAAAAAAATTTCTGAGGGTGGCTATGAGCCACAGGTTTAATACTGATGAGACAAGTGTACCGGAAGAGAATGCCAAAAAGAACTTCCATAAGTCAGCAAGAAGAAAGTGCACCAGAGTTCAAGGCTACAGAGGATCACTTCAGCTTTGCTCCTTTGTGGTAATGCATCAGGTGATTTCAAAGTGTAAGGTGCATGGTAATTTACCACTCCGAGGTGTAGATAAAAACACCTTACCAGTAATTTGGAGGTCAAACCAGTTAGCATG